CAAGATTAAAGAAACAGTAATATAATGCTGCACCTCAGAGGGGTACATTGTTATGCTAAATGGGTGTGTCCCACTAAACTGGGTGTGGTTTTCAGGGTCTTACGCCTTAAACAGGGTATGCAATATTTTACATTATATTATTTCACTATTTAGCATCTTGGCTTGAACAGGGTAACAGTTTTTTAGAAGTCATTGGAAGAGTGTGAAGGTTGGGCAACGAGCAGTCTACATATTGTTGTACCAACAATTTTTTTTCCAAAAAATCTTATTCGTTATTACTGTAGTTTGAAGAGTTACTTAATCCTGTATGCAAAATGAAATGAATCAGAGCCATAAAATAAAGATAATGAAATGAACAGTTTTCGACAAAACTAGGTACTGTTTTTATTCGATTAACCGCCCTGGGTGCTTTGGACCTTGAGAAAGGGCGCTTATTTGAGGTGGGCGCTTATTAAATTTCCACAATTTCATGAAGTGTAGTATGTTTATTTTGCAACAAAACAATAAATGGTAAAAACAAAACCCAAGATGTAACAAAGCAAGGTTTCTGTAAAATACACTGAAGAAAACTCAGGTTCAGAGGTGAAAGGGAGTGGGGTGGGGGTGGGCGCTTATTTGAGGCTGGGTGCTTACCGTATTTATTCGATTAACCGCCCTGGGCGCTTATTAAATTTTTGGACCTTGAGAGAGGGCACTTATTCGAGGTGGGCGCTTATTCGAGGCTGGGCACTTATTAAATTTTCACCATTTTCAGCAAATGAAGTACTTTTTTTTGCAACAAAACAATAAATGCTAATAACAAAACGCGAAGAAGTAACAAAGCAAGGTTTCTGCAAAATACTCTGAAGAAAACTCCGTCCTCGGGAAAGTCTCTTATTAGAATTTATTCACTCAAGTGGGTGGGGTGGGGGTGAGCGCTTATTTTAGTTTGATTGGGAAGAGGAAGGGGTGGGCGCTTATTCGAGGCTGGGCGCTTATTAACTTTTTCTGCCTTTAGGATGGGCACTTATTTGAGGTGGGCGCTAATTCGAGGTTGAGCACTTATTTGAATAAATACGATATTCAAAATTTTGCAGAAGTCGATAAANCGCTTATTCGAGGCTGGGCACTTATTAAATTTTCACCATTTTCAGCAAATGAAGTACTTTTTTTTGCAACAAAACAATAAATGCTAATAACAAAACGCGAAGAAGTAACAAAGCAAGGTTTCTGCAAAATACTCTGAAGAAAACTCCGTCCTCGGGAAAGTCTCTTATTAGAATTTATTCACTCAAGTGGGTGGGGTGGGGGTGAGCGCTTATTTTAGTTTGATTGGGAAGAGGAAGGGGTGGGCGCTTATTCGAGGCTGGGCGCTTATTAACTTTTTCTGCCTTTAGGATGGGCACTTATTTGAGGTGGGCGCTAATTCGAGGTTGAGCACTTATTTGAATAAATACGATATTCAAAATTTTGCAGAAGTCGATAAAAGACCAGGGTGTAAAGAAAGTCAGTTTTACAGCCTGCCATTAGGGCAAGCTGTAGCTAGCATGTACTAGCCCACAAGCCATTTCAACAAGACCCAAGACCCTTTTTGATTAGCAGGATTGATTGCAATCCTTCTGTAACTAGCCCAATAGCAAAATCCACTTGCCCCGGGCTATCGGACACTACTTTCTTTGCACGCTGGAGACTCAGCATCTTTAAAAGAATATGTACTGCACATGTGCATAATCCTGGCCAAGAAGCCGACAGGGCTGAGTTGCCCAAAGCATGGTTAGCTTTAACCATTGGTTAAGCAGTATCAAAACCAATAAGTTGTCAAGGTATTAAACGTTGGTTAATGCTAACCATGCTTTGAGTAACAGAGCCCAGGTGTCTAGAGAGATCCAAACAGTTTGAACTTTGGACAAGCTATTAGGATCTAGAGAATTTTTCCACATACACGGTACGTAAACATCAAGAGCCTTCCATCCAAATGCTAATGGCAGAAAAGCACAAATGAAATTTGAAAGAAACTCGTTGTCTGATAGCCCTTGATAAAAGCAAGATTTCCTCTCCCCCACCCCTAATAAAAAACAATGTTGAAAGAAATGTAACACTATGGTCATTGGTCATAACGTTGCCTGCACACAGCAGAACGGACTGAACACTCTGAATCACAAGACTCGTGATACGAGTCAAGTTCAGGTCTTTTGGACGGAAAGGGTGAAGTTCAGTCGGAAGTGCTTAACTCATCTCCCGGTGTTTTTAATACCTGAGGCATCAACTTTCATGCAATTTGAGTAAGTTGGACCCCAAGGAGGCAGGGTTAGGTTTCTTAAAACGCAATCAATAAATAACAATCTAAGAATATGGAAGAATACCTTCTTTAAATGAGAGTTTGTAGATACGATTTAAGTTACGGATCTAGTCAAAACTCACCTAGTAACTCACAATCAAACTTCACGTCCTTTGTTCTCAAAACAAACGTAAACTTGCTGGATTCCTCTTGGAAAACTTCTTTTTGCTTCTTTATAATTTCGCTTGATAAAGCTGCAGCGTTCTTCTTTAACAAACCTGATCAATCAAGAACATAGGCTCTTATTTAAACGTGATTTCTTTAGCATTACTATCAATCAATAGCTACCTGTCAGGTTCATTAAATTGGAAACCAACAAGTAGTACTAAAGCTTACATGTGTAAAGCTTACTCTACGTACCGGAATTGCATCATATCAAAAAGGTAGTAAAAACAACCTACCTTCTCTGTCATATAAGCTAATATACTGTATTGTCATAGCCATGGACCATACAATAAGATGAGCAAGATCTACAAAGTTAATGTCAGACTCCAAAACCACGAAGCTGATGTGTCGTGGAACTTTCCTAAGGTCTTTTGAGTCTTCTCTGATTTTCCAATAAGTGCACGTCCGTAAACTGAGCGAAAAATATCGTCTAGTTTGCTGAAATAAGGTGACTGTAACAGTCTTTAAATACACTAAAAGGTATAAAAAACTGAGAAAACATTTAAAGACCCACATCGTGGGTTAACACTTCTGGAAAATGCTGTTACCGGCGCTCAATGTCCATTTTGAAAAATTTCACTCGAAACGAACACCAGTGAAAACTGACAGCGTGTGAGCATGCGTACGAGTCTACAAACCACGTGCAATTTCCGGTTACCTTTCAACAGTGTGGATTGCGTGACGCAATAGTTTTCATCATTCTGAATGTCGGTTTGGATTCCAGTTTGTGGGAAAAAATTAAATATCACTAAATCAGTTGAGATGTGATAATAAACAGTTATTCTTTTAAACAAAAAGGAAGGAAAACGTAACTCATATTTTCTTAGCCAAAGATTTCTTTGGTTTCCAGGTAAACGGTAACGCTAGCGAAAAAATTTACAAAAGCGTGGCACTTTACGGAACTTCACATTTTAAAATATCCCTATCTTTAGTTTGATCATAATTAATTCTATTTTACAAGCAATGTCCAGAATACTATTATTGTCATTATTTTCCACATCTCTGCTGACAGTCACCATATCTTCTAAGGGACGCAACAAAGGTGGAGTAGTGGATGTTGATGTGTGTTGTTAAAGGTCTGCAAAAAAATCAGAAGAAATAAGTACTAAAATAGGACACCACGAAATCCATTTCTAACTGTAGAGTAATGATTCTCACATCAACCCATTTGGTAGGAAGACATTTAAGAAATGGTCCAGATAAGAATGATAGCAACAACGGCAATGAACATTGAACATTGTTGGAATGCAAAAAAGGTGCTAACTTTTCTATTGTCTGTACTTTGTATTTCTGATTGGCTTAGACAGCAAAAGTTAACAAAACTTCATAAAGTGGTACATATATTTCAACCATCTTCCATATAACAAAATCTGGTCTCAGTTTGAATAACAAAGAAATCCCATGTCGGGAATATGTAAAATTGTAAACTTTTCTTGGCCATTGTTTTCAACTCTTGTGATTGGTCAAAATCTTTTAACACAAAAAAATACTCTTTCAAAGTGGAGTGTAAATACATTTTATTGTGTAAACGGCCTTCATGTAGGTTTAGGCATTCTCTGTTTAAAAATGAGAACATTCCTATGTGGGAAAGCACCGTTGACGCATAACAAAAGAAATTGCTATCCACCTTACCAGGATCATTACTTAATGGATATTAAAGAATCTTTTTTTATTTTTTGTGCATATGCACCACGTGCTTTAAAAGTGTTTCAATATGGAGGGGATTTTCCTCCTCTTTTTTTTTTTTTGTGAGAGGATGCCGAATGATAAAAGTACAATGTACATTATTATTTTGCATTTATTTCAGTATTAAATGAAAATATTTATCATTAAGTTACAGTTATTGCGGAGGCATGCATGGCCTAACCTCAAGGGGGAAGTGGGGGAGAGAAACGTCTGAATTCCAAGCTTTATAATGCCGTAGGTCTGGTGATGTCACCTAGTAACTTATGCATTTTTGCATGAATTTTGATTTCGTGACAAGTTGGAAACCATAAGTCACGGAAAAGTGAACAGCAGCATGCGTATAGTCAATATGAATGTTATAGTTCTGTGTTTTGAGTGCCATACAGCTTGACAATTAACAAAGCCTCCAGAATAAATGTACAGGGTCGTTTAAAGGAGCTGTGTCACGAAATTCAGTTAAATTAAGTCATTAAAAAATGGCCGTTAAATTAAGAAAAACAAAAAAATAACAACTTAAAACATTAAAGGAAAGTTAAAATAACACAACAGGTACAACGGATGCCACGGATGGGCAAACCTGAAGAATGAACTGACTGCCGTGACACAGCCCCTTTAACTTTTTGAGTTTGAAATGAAGTGTTCACAGGCTAAAGATTTGGAGTGAGCTTGAAGTACAGAGGTTCCCTTTTTCTTTCTTTCTTTATAGTTATTGTAGCTCTATCTTCATTCATACAGTACAGTTATATGTACTATACATGTATGTACCAACATCACACATTACAATACCTTAATCAATTGGTATTATTGACTAGTCATTACATACAACTGTAACTTACAAAAATTCAGTTAATCTGGTTTGCCATGGAAGAAATCCCATTATCATCTTAAAGCTACCAAACTTGAGTGCAAGGTCAGGATCTGGCATGCCACAAGTAGCTGTAAAAATGAAAAATTAAATGCTAAAAAAATTAATCTACACTCAAACCCTATTAATACGGAAAGGGCCATAGAAAGTGTTCATATTAATGGGATGTCTGTATTAAGCGGATTAAATTTAGAGAAAAATCAAAATGTAAGTTATTTTTTTGCCCAGGACAAAGCAAACTATCTGTAATAATGAGGTGTCCATATTAAGTGGGTGTCCATAAAGTGGGAGTTGACTGTATTTATTTACATGTACAGTATTTCCCAAGTCAAATGGATAGGAACTGTCACAACCATTGCTGTGTATAGAAGGTAAACCATACATGTAGATATAGATCGAGTGGTCACTGCTTTCACTGATACTGCTATATTGACAAAAACTTTAAAATCTTCATGCTCGGTACATGTTAATTCAATGGATAAAAAGGGATGGAAGGATTGTAGGGAATCAAGAAATCCCAACATCCTGAATTCTCCAACAAGCAATCTCCATCAATAAAAGAAATATTTCAGGGATTAAGCTGAATTGTTAAACTTAAAATACAAATTTAATTTTCTTTGTCCAATAGAGAATTCATCAAATAAACTGAACACTTAGACCTTATAATTTAAACACTGATGATAAAAATATTCAGTTATAGTTGGAAAGCTTTGGCTCACTCCATTACATGTTAACCTGCATCATCACAGACAGTGAGTCTAAATCCCTGACACCTATGCACTACATGTACATGTACATTAGTTCTCCAACCAGGTCTTGAGTGACAAATCCGGCTGTAACGCATGCTATTGCATGTACATTGTACATTCTGCATTGATTTTGTTCACACCTTTTAAAAGGCTGTTTAAATAGTCTGGCTCCATTTCTTTTGTTGCTCTTTTTTTTGTCTGGACTTCTTGGCAAAATTCTCTGGCAGCTTCCACAATGTCTCCTTTACCATCCTTTTCTGACAGCAGGGTTATGCATACCTGTGTTGGAGCTGCAGAGATATAACAAGATTAAAGAAACAGTAATATAATGCTGTACCTCAGAGGGGTACATTGTATACTCCCTTGAGTATCCTAAATGGGTGTGTCCTACTAAACTGGGTGTGGTTTTCAGAGTCTTATGCCTTAAACAGGGTATGCAATATTTTACATAATCTTATTTCACTATTTAGGATCTTGACTTGAACAGGGTAACAGTTTTTCAGAAGTCATTGGAAGAATGCGAAGTTTGGCAACGAGCAGTCTACATTTGTTGTACCAACAAAATTTTTTTCCAAAACATCTTATTCTTTATTACTGTAGTTTGAAAACTTACTTAATCCTATATGCAAAATGAAATGAATCAGGGCCATAAAATAAGCAAAATGAAATGAACAGTTTTCAACAAAACTACATGTAGTTAAATTCGAAATTTTGCAGAAGATGATAAGAGACTCAGCATTACTGCATATGTACATAATGCTGGCCAAGATGCCAACAGGTGTCTAGAGAGATCTGAACAGTTTGAACTTTGGACGAGCTACTAGGATCTAGAGAATTTTTTCCACATACACGGTAAGTAAACATCAAGAGCCTTCCATCCAAATGCTAAATGGCAAAAAAGCATAAAAGAAATTTAAAAGAAACTCGTTATTTGATAGCCCTTGGTAAAAGCAAGATTTCATCTCCCCCACCCACCACCCCTAATAAAAAACAATGTTCATAGAAATGTAACACCACACGTTGCCCGCACACAGCAGAACCGATTGAGCACTTTGAATTACAAGACTCGTGATACGAGTCAAGTTCAGGTCTTTTGGACGGAAAGGATGAAGTTCAGTCGGAAGGGCTAAACTCATCTCCCGGTGTGTTTAATACCTCAGGCATCAACTTTCATGCAATTTGAGTAAGTTGGAACCCAAGGAGGCAGGGTTAGGTTTCTTAAAACGCAATCAATAAATAACAATCTGAGAATCTGGAAGAATACCTTCTTTAAATGAGCGTTTGTAGATACGATTTAAGTTACGGATCTAGTCAAAACTCACCTAATAACTCACAATCAAACTTCACGTCCTTCGTTCTCAAAACAAACGTAAACTTGCTGGATTCCTCTTCGAAAACTTCTTTTTGCTTCTTTATAATTTCGCTTGATAAAGCTGCAGCGTTCTCCTTTAACAAACCTGATCGATCAAGAACATAAGCTCTTATTTAAACGCGATTTCTTTAGCATTACTATCAATCAATAGCTACCTGTCAGGTTCATTAAATTGGAAACCAACAAGTACTAAGCTTACATGTGTAAAGTTCACTCCACGTACCGGAATTGCATCATATCAAAAAGGTAGTAAAAACAGCCTACCTTCTCTGTCATATAAGCTAATATACTGTATTCTCATAGCCATGGACCATACAATAAGATGAGCAAGATCTACAAAGTTAATATCAGACTCCAAAACCACGAAGCTGATGTGTCGTGGAACTTTCCTGAGGTCTTTTGAGTCTTCTCTGATTTTCCAATAAGTGCACGTCCGTAAACTGAGCACAAAATATCGTCTAATTTGCTGAAATAAGGTGACTGTAACTGTCTTTAAATATACTAAAAGGTATAAAAAACTGAGAAAACATTTAAAGACCCACATCGTGGGTTAACACTTCTGGAAACTGCTGTTACCGGCGCTCAATGTCCATGTTGAAAAATTTCACTCGAAACGAACACCAGTGAAAACTGACAGCGTGTGAGCATGCGTACGAGTCTACTAACCACGTGCAATTTCCGGTTACCTTTCAACAGTGTGGATTGCGTGACACAAAAGTTTTCATCATTCTGAATGTCGGTTTGGATTCCAGTTTGTGGGAAAAAATTAAATATCACTAAATCAGTTGAGATGTGATAATAAACAGTTGAAGAAAATTTGTTTTTCCTTCCTTTTGCATTGAGTATAAAAGAATCGGTTTCTAAAGAAACCAAAGGTCCATTTGCCATTGCGATCGCTTTTTTAAATGTTTTCGCACCGTGAAATGCCTTGAAGTGTAAAACTTATAATGGTAAACTTTAAAATCCCTGAAAAATATATGCATTAGTTTTGTAGAAAAAGAGATGTAGTGTACCAAGAACCAAAGTGATGGAAAATAAAATTCAAACAGAAATCCAAGGCTCCGAGGAGTCTGGGAAAGAAAGAAGCAAAATACAACATGGCGGCTCTGTCGAGGACATGTTGTGGGTTTCTGAAGTTGCAGTTGACCTGCGAAGTAGGAACTCCACGGGTGTTTCTTAGGCCAGGCTTAAATATTGGATTAAACCGTTTGTACAGCTATCCGGTTGTACAGGTAAGGGAGTGTTTGTTTGATAAATAGAATGATTATTATACAGGTCGTGAAGTCAAGTAAAATTACTTGCTCAGACTCTCACTGCCAAAGCAGACGAAACAGCTAGTAACTTTACTGATATGTTTTTACCTTATTAATTAAGACAGTTTATAGTTTAGGGTATTTTTATCAATGATCTTTTTGGCAATCAGAAACACCAGTTGAATTTATAAGAAATAGGTGTAGAATTTTCCTTTGTTCTTCTAAAGGTACGTAGGGTAGAGTGAAGCACCAAATCTTGCCACCATTTTGCCAGGATCAAGCATATCATTGCAATATCATCGAGGCGATGATCTTTAACTGCGTGCAACATCAAAGTCTAACTAACTTCAGATAAATTTTCCAATAATAATGCACACAATCAATGTGTATGAAACAAAACCCGTACAAAGCAATAGAGAAATTTAATTAAGCGCAGCTATGGTACTGGATATATAGCCACATATTGAGTTTATTTAAGCATTAAGTTATTTCAGCCTATGTTGATTATCAATTTCCTTTGTCAGACTTATAGCCTTGATTACTCATGAATTAGGGGTAAGAGCTCAAGACAAAGGAAATAGAATTAGTGACCACACAAAGACTGACTGCTGTGAAAGCTTGGGGCAAAAAAACAAAACTTTATTGACACAAACGAGGGAGAAGAAAAAAAAATACCCGTGGGAGGGCAGGGTGAGTAAAACAGTCACAGCAAGACTGCAAATGACCTTTGAAATGACAAGCGTGCAATCTTATACCCCAGAAGAAACTTGACACTGGCGAAAGACAGGGAGGGTGTGTACCTAATTAAGTGCTTTGACAAATGCCAAAACCACCAAGAATTCACCTAGGTTAAAAAAATTTCAACCTAAATATAATTTTGGCCTGAAACATGCCCTGGACACTGGACTTCACCACATAGTTAGCTCAAATAGATGAGCACCAGGCACTGGGTTCATACCCTGGCTAAATGGTGTGCCAAACACCGTCTTAATATAATATTATTTGATCACTGATCAAAAACCATGAGGGATACCATATCGATTATGGAAAATGTGAAATCAATTACTGCTGAAAAATAAAAATATATACAGTCAAACTCCACTTCACAGACATCTGCTTAATACAGACTCCTCATTATTATGGCCAGTTTGCTTTGTCCATGGGGAAAGACAGCCATAACATTTTCTCGAAATTCAACCTGCTTAACCCTTTAAGCAGTCCCAATAGTGACCAACATCAATTTTCTCCTAATGATATCCATACATTGTCATGAGATGAGGTTATGAGAATTAAGAAAATGATCACCTAAGAGAAAATACTTTGATCTTTTATCAAATTCTCTTAACTCATTCTTTAAGGAAATGTATAGAGATCAGTTTGGAGAATTTGTATGTGGATATTGGGGCTTAAAGGGTTAATAAGGACACCCCGTCAGTACTATATGGACACTTTCTATGGCCCCCTCAGCATCCAATTTAACAGGGCTTTCAAGACTGAAAATTGTTGACAAATAAGAATGCTAAAACCTTGGTGTTTTCTTTTAAGGAAATATTTCATGACATAATTTGGGCTCAAATCTCCTTTTAATTCATAACAGGCACCTTGAGCCCTTAAATGCGTAAGGGATTTAACGACAGTTTAAAAATTTCAGAATTTACAAGGAGTTGTATGGAAAACCACGCGAGCATGAGTGGGTGGCAAAAGTTGTTTTTCTCGACAAATCATTCTAATTTTCGGCAGCTGTTGCAATCGCTACTTTTGAGATATACAACTAAATTTACAGGTTAACTACTAATTAGGTAACCTGTATATCTCAAAAATAGAGAATAATAATTTATAATACTGTTTTGCTTATTTTGATATGCTCTTCAGTTTCAGCTCGTGCTAACAAAATTTTTCAAAAAGCGAACAGTTTTAGTGTTTACCGATAGTTGATCACATGATCAACTAATGCAAAAGGCCTCTTATTGATTGTTTTCTAAAATAATTTTCATCAGAGGTCATGTGGACATCATGTAAGTTATAACACAGCTCCAACAAGGACATTACAGTCCATAAGCAGTGGATTTGCCTCTTATAAGGTATGTTCCGTACTAAGTCAAGTCATCAGATAGAAACCCCTCTTTAGAACTGCACCTTACTAAAACTTATAATGCCTTGAAGCAGCAACTTTCACAGTATTTTAGTCATTTTAATGACTAAAGGTTTAAATTTTGTTTTTTTATGTAGTTGTTGTTGTTTCAAACTCATTAGAGAGCTTTAGATTCTAAGACAAGTATGACTACGAGTACGAGATTTTCTCAATACTAAGTAGTGCTCGCTAGAGAATTTTTACCAGTGTCATTTTGGTGGGAAAATGTGGTAGCCGTTGTCATTCTACTACAAGTTTTAGCACAAATGTTGTACTGCCGAAAACAAGACATAAAATGTTAGAAGTTTTATCATTTTGCGATCAGGAAAGAGCATAACCTCCTTCAGTTAAGATAACAGTGCTAACTTTCCTAGTGAAATATGGTAAGCTAAAGCTTTCCGGGAAGTCTATATTTTGAGAATAAACGAAAAAACTTTAAGTCAAATCTCGTACTCATAGTCGTCCTCGTCCTCGAATCTAAAGGTCTCTATTATCTATTATCATATCACATTATCTTAGCCTAACACAAAGGGAAATAAAATTTGAAGTTGGGATAAAATTGAACCATAATGTAGTCAAAGAAAATGATTAAAGAATAGCAGGGAACCAACTATAGAATGTTCATCTTATGAAGGAAGTCCTCAACATTGAAGAGTTGACTTAAGTTTCCATTTTGCTTAAATCTCTTAGCCAGGACTTCACTTTTTACCCAAGCGACAGCAACATGGTGGAGCTACTAATGTGACGGCACAAAGCTTAAAGGGCGTAAATAGCTTGACCATACTCAAGAGGATGCTTAAACATGTCTGGCCAAAGGACAGACCAGATCTCAAGAGAAGAGTGGTTGCTGCAGTCACATTACTAATTGGGGCTAAGGTGAAAGAATCCTAAATGACATACACTTGATTTTGCTGAATTCAGTGCATTTTAGATTAAGCACTTTATATACCCTTGGCAAAGGCTTGATTTTGGCCACCTCATTCGTCCTCCTCGAGAACAGGTCTGTGACTTAAATTCAAATGTTAATCAATGATGCATCGTTACATTAAACACCAGAAATGGAAAAAATGTCATCAGACGCTAAACACATTTTCTTTCTTCTTTTTTTCTTTGGTCTTTCCCAGTTAACACAGCGGTAATGCCTAGTGACTTACAACAGAATAGAATAGAATAGAATAGAAAACTTTGTTTATGCGTCGAGCCCTATAGCTTGGGAAAAACCCCATACTAATTTGGGGACACAATTTATAATTAAATAATTAGAATTACCCATACAATAAAAAGTAAAAATATTTAAACTATGCATAATATATTATACTTTAATGATTATCTAAATAACTGAGAGAGAATTGTAAAATTAAATGGTTATGATGCGCAGAGAGAACAGCTCTTACATCCATCATCAATCATTGAGCTTATATCATTTTTACGAATTCTACTTTTAAAGATGTTCAAAGTTTTTGCTGATGTTAAATCAGGAGGTAATTTTCACCATAACCTAGGCCCAAGAAGTGGACTTAAACTCATCTCTTTCAAGAATGCTGCTAACAACCATAAGTGCAGACTGGTAAATAATTAACAATCCGGATCCATTTGGTTGAATTGCAAAAAAATCCATGACACCATTTTAATTTACCAGCTTACATTGTAGGAATACATCCTATCCATTACTCATCAAGTATATATGTGGTCATTTGCTTCTGGCTTAACACTATATCCCTTTTGGTTTAATTAAGGGTGCAAGTTTTCCAGCAACACGTTGTAATGAAACATTCATTTATACTTTTCGTCTTCAGCTTTTGAATGTTCAAGTTCCATTCTTGTTTAAGTATGCTGTTGACTTCCTCAACAACTTGGATCCCTCCACTGTAGCTCAAACAGCAGGTGGAACTACCTTCACTATACTTACAGCTCTTCTTTTAGGATGTAAGTAGTTAGAGATTTATGTAACATTCAGGGGCATTACTTAGAAATTTTCCAGGGGTACACAAGTTTTCCAAATCCACCCTAACCTAGCCTGTAGTTGTACAAGTAAATCATTTTCTGTTTTTAATCAATATGTTCAGAGGTAATTCAGACAGAATCCATCAGGAAATTGAGTAATTTTAATTTTTAGTGGACAAAATGAGTATCAGAATAGTTTCAGTCATATTTTTTGTATAAACACTTTTCAGGGGCTATAAAATTTAATGTAATATTAGTTATGTGAAATAACTCTAAAGAAAAGATTTTTATGGGAGCCCGAGAAAACAATCTT